GAAGCAGGCTCCAGGCCCTGAGGTGTCAACACAGAGCCCAACGCAGAGCTCGAACCCTCGAACTGTGAGATCATGACTTGAGCCGAAGTCGGACACTCAACCGACTGAGCCACCCAGGTGCCCCAGTTCATTTCTCTTGATTCCAACAAGGCAAAAGTCCCTTTAAATAGGAGTCTGGATGTAGGACGTGTGTCTTATCTGCAGCCTAGAGAAAGATCTTTGGCTTAAAAGATGTGATCAAAGACCAAAAGGTAAATTTTGAGAAGAAAACAAGTCATCTGCAAAAACACAATTTTTTTTTTTTTTAATTTTTTTTTTCAACATTTATTTATTTTTGGACAGAGAGAGACAGAGCATGAACGGGGGAGGGGCAGAGAGAGAGGGAGACACAGAATCGGAAACAGGCTCCAGGCTCCGAGCCATCAGCCCAGAGCCTGACGCGGGGCTCGAACTCCCGGACTGCGAGATCGTGACCTGGCTGAAGTCGGACGCTTAACCGACTGCGCCACCCAGGCGCCCCTGCAAAAACACAATTTAAAATGGGACAGCGGGGACTACTGTCTTAGCCTCCAGCCCCCCCCCCCCCCCCCCCCCCCCCCTTCCTGATAGTAGAGTACATGCTGAGCTCTTCCTTCTCTGGGTGGCCTGGCAGTGAACAATAAAGATAATGCTGGATTCCAACCGGTCCCTTCTCTTGCAATGGAAGCAGAATTTCAAATTTGGACAATTACTGTACTTCAGATTCATCCTTTACTGTTGATCTCCGTGACCTCTTTAAATCCATTTGCTTCCTGAATAGGACATCTGCTTGGCAAGCTTTCCAAGGTGCAAGGAAGATAGCACTTTCTTGGGGGCCGTTCCATTGTCGGGAATTTCATTTTTTTACCAAAGGATGTTGCAGGTGCCAGTGGGAAGACATTAAGAAGGGATGTGGTCTGCCCCGCTCCCTGGAGACCTCCTTTGCCACGCATCTATGGTCTAAAGGACGATAAAATGCAACATCTCGTTATTTATTAAAGTATTATAAAGTATTATAAAGTATTCATTCATTGCCCTTCATTTCAGTTAAAAACAAAAACAAAAACAAAAAGGTATGATTGGCTAAGGCCATTGGAGTTGGATTGCCTAAGTAAGCATTTGCCCTACCAGGAGAGAGACAAAAGCCCTTGAGAGAAATGGGCTTTTGTTCTCTCTTGTGTTAAATATATTCTCCCTTAATCTGACTGCCTAATCTAACCATCAGAGGGGAACAGTCACCTATGGCTAACTCAATTACCGCTGCTAATGGAGAAGAGGCATCACCATGATGAAAAGAAAGTCACGGACAATGCCGCTCCTGTATTAACCTTTACAAGTAGAAGTGACAGGCGGCGCTGCAGAATCATTTGAATTGCATGCTAATGTAATTTCTTCCCTGCCCCTGTCCCCTACACCCCTTCTGCATGAGCTGCTCCTTGATGTGGGTCCTAGCAGCCCTTGGGTGAGGAGGGATTCTGAAGCAGAAATAATGCTACCGGCTGAAAAGTTCCATTCCCGACCTGGAGACGAACCACAGAAATAGAAACAACTGAAAATCAGTGCTGCGTTTGGCACGGATGGAGCACTGTC